TGTTTTTAGTGCGTTCCAGTGGAACGGTTCCACCAACATAAAAGTATTGACAGCTGTTTCCACTTATTTAAGGCCTCTTTAGTATCGAACAACTTGTAGTGTCACACCAAAGCAAAGGACTACCTGAGCTTATATACTCTTCATGTAAGTCAACAGAGGCGAGATTTAAGAACATCACGTGATCCACACCACCTTTGCCGCGATCGGTACATACTATGCAACCAGGAATACACGGCAAATTGTTTTAATCGTTTTAACAGAGTGCTTTAGGTTGAAGTAACTCTTATTTTACAAACAACATATTTAGTAAACTGAACCATACAGCGGGTTGGTTTCACTAAAGTTTTCTGGGTTAATTTAACCAATTTAAAAAAAATAAAATAACTATCTGGTTTAGTACCGTCAAACTAATCTTTTTTTATATTAACCTTCCCACAGTTGATTTAAATAAATACTTATGGTTCAACTAAATTAATATAGTTAAATTAACTATTCCTTTTTTTCTGTGTAGGTGCACTTTTCAAATATTTTTAGATAAACACCGTTTTGGTGTTTGCTGTATATAACATTTTCAACCATAATTCATGGTGTTTATATTAACACCACTTGGTGTTGGATTTAACCACCATTTTAAGATTACATTTTACACCACAGATATTTTAAACAGTGCATTTTCCCAACATTTTTATTAAAATGGATATAGCTGGTTTTGCACGGATGCTCCTCATTTACAGTACGACGATACTTTATAAGTAGGGTTTAGTAAACATAGTTTTCAATACAGGGTGGAAGGTAATGACATATTATAAACTAAACAGTTTATTTTAAAATTAATTAAAAATTTAAAAATAAACTGTTCTTCACTCTCACTTTAATGTCACTTCCTGACACTTAAGTAATCTACTGTTAAATTGTTCCCGCGCTCTGATTAAAACCTCCGGTGTTATGTTCCTAATTTCTGCAATTATTCTGTTTCTTAACTTAAATCAGCAGGTTATATTTTAAACACTCTGTTTTTTAGATGTCCTCATAGAAAAAAGTCTAGAGGTGTTAAATATGGTGATCTTGCTGGCCATTCTGTGAAACCTCTTCTTCCGGTCCACATATGTGGAAGGGTGTCTTTCACAGACTGTGGTGTCATCTAAATAATTCCCTTCAGAAAGAGCATAGTGGGGTGGTGCATCGTCTTGTTGATTGTAGAACATTTTTAAATAATTTATTTTCAAAACCTAAACTCATAGCAAAAAGAGGATTTGTGATCATAGGCAAAAATTACTTTTGCCTGCTGGGTAAACCTATGTTAACCACACTATATGAAAGAGTAAAAGTGAGTGAAACTTTTAACTTTCATTTCCTGCATAAGTAGTACTTAAGGGTACTTTAAATATATTTAAAAATAAAGACTTTTTGAACGACCCTCGTATTAACATTAACGTAAAAAATTATTCTGATTGCACTAATGATTCTTGCTGTATTCAAATAAACACATCGTGTCAATAACATTCTGATTAAGTTATTAATGTTGTAGTCATAATAAATGATAAAGACGAGCCCCCAGAACCTACATAATTGCGTTAAAACCCGTTACACACTGCAACAATTTTTGTTGTTTTTGTTAATTTAAATAATCTAAATAAATAAATAAATATTTTTTTATGAAAATGTACAAAAACATATTATTTTGCAGTTACGGTATACCTACAATGTAGGTCCTACATAAAGTTATAGGAGTAATAAAAAGATAAAAGAAGTGTTAAAATGTATAATTTTCTAAATCTAAATCTAAAAAAATAAATATGTTTACCCATTATTTGTCTTGGAGCTATACAAAGATGCCTTATTTACATATTTCAATAGTAATGTTTTATGCTCCACATTAAAAAGTCCCACTTGACATTTAAATACAAATAATTGAGGTTATCCATGTCAGTTTAACGCTAATTTCGTCCTATTTTCTGAAACTCCACGCTCGGGGAATCCTCTATTCCTCCCACTGGTCGCAAAATAAATTATTGGTTAGGTTTGTTCAAAAAAATTGAAATGAAGTAAACAATGTTCATTTTTATTGCATATAATAGAGAAAACAAGTTTAATCTTAATCTCAATTTAAAAAATCGCCAAAATTTTTCTCGTACGCAAGTTTGACTTGTGAGAACGGGCCAAATATCTCATCGTGCTTTTATTTCGAGTGTGCTATAGCTATAGCTATGCTGTATACACAACACAGTGTCCGAACTTTTGGTGCTGCCAAATAGCTCACAAGTACCTATAAAGAGATTTCGTTGACATTTTTGAAATACCTATTTTTTGCTAAGGGACACTGTGAGAAACAGGCACCGACAGAAAGCCTGTTTCGGAATTATTAGACCTCATTAGTGCCGGATAGCCGTTGTGTATAAGCATAGTCGCAACACGTTTCCCAGCACCTTATATAGTCATCAAGTACGGTGACAGCGGTGAGATATAACCAGCCTGTTTCGGTCCTATTAGACCTCATCAGTGCCAGATAGCCGTGGTCTGTAAGCACAGTCGAAACACGCTCCCAAGCGTGACTATGCAGTCACAAAAAATGGTTTTCTTCTTATTATTCTTAGTACCTAAGAATTTTAGAACATTTAAAAGAAAAATTTATATCTCAGGACTCAATAATTGGATGATTTTTTTAAAGTTGTTAAATTCTCTTTACGATAAAATATTTTCAAAAAAATCTTGGTTTTAATATTAATTATTTAAACAATTTTAATTATTATACCTTCTTGGCCTTCCATAAAAGTGAAAATTTTATAAAATTTTTGTGTCGAAAAGAAAAAAAGTCTTATTTCTACAATATCGCATTTGTTGTTGTGCTGCGCATTTTTAATAACAATGATTGTTATTAGAAAACAAGTTTGGTTGCAAACATTATTTTTTATTAATATTACTCGTAATGAGAAACTATTCAACAACTTTCAAAAAAAATTTCATCCAATTATTACAAAATAATTTGAAGTGTTATTTTGTTTAGTTATTATCTACAGACTTTAACAATTATCTATACTTTCCAAAAAATTATTAAAAAGTCATTGAGGTGGTTTTTTCTTATTTGAATTGATAATAAAATTCATGCGTGCACACAAATAAGATAGCACGTGAAATAAAAATCGAGTGCCATACAATTTAAACAATCGTAATTATCGATGGGAATTTTGTATTCTGTACACACGTCTTTTTGTTGACATGAAGGTGATGACTTTTTTAGGAAATCCAAGATATACAGTGGACTTTGCGTTGGATTCTTTGAAATTGTGCTTATCTTTTGGACATTGGTCTGCGCAAGAAAATATGGAGTCCCCTCGTTTTTTAGCTACACAATATATGGCCAGGATTAAACGGTTTTTTAGTATGATTTTTAACTATTTATTTTGTTTATTAGATATATTAATTTAACAACAAATAGAAAGATTTTGAACATGCATTTAAGTTTAAATTATATTAGATTTTAATCTTGATATCATTTCCATTAATAAAAACCGATAACAACAGGTATATTTGATATACCGGGCTTTCATTTAAAAACTAGCAACCATTAATAACTTTTGAGTTAGTAAATATGAGCTTGAGTGCCAAACAAATTTTATGTTGCACCCTCTTACCTCCAGCTACCCTTACTAAAATATATGTATAACTATATATTTGGTTAAAACAAACATTTATATAGTAAAACTAACTAGGTTAACGGCTTGGTACAACTTACCCATAGCGTTTGGCGCATTTATATAACTAACAATAAAAATAAGATCTTGAAATATTTGGAGTCGAACATTTTTTTTAAGCCGTTTCACCATCTTAAAATACTTCCACCTATTTAAGGTCTCTTTAGTATCGAACAACTTGTAGAGTCACACCAACGCAAAGGACTACCTGAGCGTATATATTCTTTATGTAAGTCAACAGAGGCGAGATTTAAGAACATCACGTGATCCACACCGCCTTTGCCGCGATCGGTACATACTATGCAACCAGGAATGCACGGCAAATTGTTTTAATCGTTTTAACAGACTGCTTAAGGTTCAAGTACCTAACTCTTATTTTGAAAAAAACATATTTAGTAAATTGAACCAAACAGCGGGTTGGTTTCACTAATGTTTTCTGGGTTAATTTAACCAATTTAAAAAAATAAAATAACTATCTGGTTTAGTACCGTCAAACTTTGTTTATATTAACCTCCCCACAGTTGATTTAAATAAATATGGGTCCACTAAATTAATATATATATATAGTTAAATTAATCATTCCTTTTTTTTTCTGTGCATTATACTATACAGTATACCTTTCAAATTTTATTAACAAAATAGTATTACAGACTTTGTACCATTTCTATTTTTTTTTAAATTTAGTAAAAGAAATAATAAAAATTATAAATGGTATAAAACCTGTAATTCTTGAATTTTTTTAATAAAATTTTAAATTTGTCGATAAACTTCAGTGAATTAAATATTGTACCACTTTAATTTTAATTATCTTAATTTGGAGGGGCAGGAGGCTGGGGGCACACTTAAAAACTAACTTTTTATCGCAAACTTTAATTTAAATTCTGCTTGCGCAGAACTTTTCTATATAATGTCATTATATACAAAAAAAAGTTTATATACAAAATCCACCAGCCGCCACTGGTATACAGTATACCTTCGCATCGCGCATTTTTTAAATTAATAAACAACCTACTTGTAAATTATCGGGGCAAAAAAAATTAAAATAAATAAATAAAAAATAAAATCCAATCTCTAATCTGCTAACCTTACCTAATTGGTGTTTACTTCATGTTCATTAGTTATTATAAAAATTATTTATAACAATAGTTATTTTTTAGGTGTACTTGTTAATTTTACTTTTATGATAATTTCCCTCAAGTATAAGATTAATAAAATTTTAATTTAGAACTATACCTACTATTGGTGGAAATTTTGTGCTTAAGTGGAGACACTTAAAAGATAAGGAGATGGCCTTATTTCTGTTTTAGTCCGGAACTGCAACGAGAATTAATATAAAAATCATTATTCAGTCTATTGAAGTGATCATTTAATGAATTTAATTTTCACCACCCGGTTCCAGAATGTTTTTTGCGCTGTTGGTGGTTTTTTTGGTTGTGGCCATCAGTTTTCGATTATGGCAAGTGAAACATTCGCATTTTGGGAAAAATTTCTATGCTATTCCCGGGCCAAAACCGCTTCCCGTTGTAGGGAATTTGTTTCAACTTTTAAGTCCTGACACAGGTAACATTTGTGACTTAAAAATATTATTTACCTTTTGTTTTTTAATTTATTCGTCATTTACAGCACATATGTTTGAAAAGATTAGGGAGAGGGCTGAAAAATATTATCCAATTTATAAATGTCAAGCTTTGGGAAGATATTATGTGGCTTTATGCAGTCCAGAAGATATGGAGGTAAGCTTAATTATTTAAAAGTAGGTACTTTAATTTAAGTTTTGAATAAAACAAATTTAAAAGAAATGTTTTCGGTATGCACATATGTACAATTAGGTGGTGATGTGATTTGGAATTTTTGATATATTACCAATAGTTTAGTTTCTAGACTTAAATTAAATATTAACAAAAGCAATTTAATTAAACGGAATTTTTTGTAATGCTTTAAAAGTCAATTATTAGTCATAATTCGTGAAACTTATCACTAAATATCATTTTTACTCGATTTTGACTCTTTAACTGATTTTATCCTACATTGACGAGCTGTGACTTTATAGCGTTTTAGTCACGGGCTGAAGTTAGAAACAGTGGCTTTTAAGCTTTTTAGTCACGGGCTGAAGTTGGGAAAAAATGAGGTTATATTCGGGTGACAGTTGACAGATGTCACATTTTTAACAAATAAAATTGGCTTTAAGTTCTGTTTTGTGTTGGTCGTAGATAAATTATAGTATTCATCTCATTTATAAACTTTACTACACTCTTGATACACAATATACTATTATCTCCACGCGGTCTATAATTTAAACTTTATTGTTGTCAACATTCGATAAAGAAATACCTTGTTATGGCCTAGGCCGATAAAAATTTTTATGAGGCAAGTAATTAGCTCGATTTTTTCTCGCTAGGGGTATTGTTTTGACAAATTAATCCTTTTCTAAGAAATTAACGTATACTAAACTGGTTTAATTTATTTATAATAAGCACTAATTTGTTTGTTTTACTGTTAATGTTTAATATTTTTCATTAAATTATTTTAAAATTAAATATGAATAATAAAACAAAAAGTGAGGTTAGGCAACCAAGAAAATGAACGATTCTTTTTCTACGATTTAAATTATAAGTTTTAATTTGCTTTAAGTTTTCAGTGAAATTAAATGATAAACACAGCTTAAACATTCCAAACTACCTATTTTTTTAAATAAAAATCCAAACAAATTGAAATTAGATACCTACATATTTATTAAACAATTAATTGAATTCAATGTAATAGCAAAAATCCATTTCTACTTAAATCATGTTGCTAGGTATTGTCAAACTATTACTGCTTCTAAAAGCAATAATAATTATTGTACATTTAATGTAATCTTTAGATAATAATTAAATGAGATTCTAAAAAAGTGAGGTTAGGCCGCTTTGATGTTGAATTAAATTGACCTATATAAAGTGCTTTGAAGATAAAATGTTGTATGCCATTCGACCTAATGACATAAAAAACTATTATAATCAATTCTTCTATAATTTAAGCTTTATTATTTTCAACGCCCACTACCAAAGTATTTAATTATCTCCTAGGCTGTATTTTTTTTCAAAAACTGTCTTTTACATTCGTTGCTATCCAAAAATCCGAGTCACATTTTTAGTAATTTATAAACTGCGGGATACAGTTTTCAAAAAATGTTGTTTGATACCTACTCGATTGCGAAATTTTTTGCATTCCCGAGTGCATCGATAACTGCTGACAGTTCTGAAGCTATCTAACCTTACTTTACAGGTGTCAAAAATAGTCTAGGATAATTGTTAAAAATAAGTCGTGGCCGATGTCACAGTTAAATAATAGTAATTCGCTTGTGGGTTCGTGGCGTAAGAAATAAGTGTCTATTTAGGCACAGCCACTCATTCCTTACGACACACAAGCGAATTTGTTTAAATACGTTCACACGTCCCTACTTTTACTCCTATAGATTGTCTGGGACGTCATTAATCATGTTTTCGTTTATTCTATTAAATAAACAATTGATATTATCTGTTTTATATGAAGTTGTCCAAAATATTGTTATAAATGCTTTAAATATTAAAAACCAGTTTGCCATTTTAATTATCTTTCTGAAAAACATTACGGATTTATCTTTGATTTTAATCTTTGCGCACATTTTTTTTACTATTAATTGATTAATTAATAATAAAATTAATTATAAGGGCCGATAAGATAGCACATTAGTCCAATTTTCAAAAATGTTGTAGGTCTGTCTCATAAATTAAGATAATAAATAATGGTATATTATGTATCAGTTTGATAAACGCCATTTTAGTCACAATTTTTAATTAGGCAAAAGCAAAGCAAGGGTGGGTTTAATAAAAATGAGTACCTAGAAAAATTTATAAATGAGTTTCATACTAGATATACTTTTTCTACGACAAATATTATAATAAGAAATAATTAATTACTAATTAATTTAAATACATATTTGTATAGGTAGATCCATGTCCATACAATAATTACCAGTTACCAAAATTGGTGTTAGAAATCTTTTTTACTAGCTTTCAAAATGTCAGTGTCAGTTTGTTATTTTTATTAAAAAAAAACAAATGAAAAATTTATATATTTTTTATTTTTTTGCAATATAATAAAATAAATTTAAGTAAATATATAAAATAATATATAAACTCTCTAAAAATGAATTAGTCAAAAATTACTAATTTAATAGTAATTAGTGGCTGCTTTTTCACTTGTACCATGGTTAAGCATGGAATACCATGGTATCCCAAAATTTAACAGCCAATTCTTATGTAAAATTGTCCCCTGAATCCGAAAAAATTATGAAAGTGGAGCAGTTTTTGAGATATAGTCAATTCCATATTAAGTGAAACACGATATTTTCGGATTCAGGGGACAATTTTACATAAGAATTGGCTGTTAAATTTTGGGATACCATGGTATTCCATTTTTGACTGATTCATTTTTAGAGAGAACATATGCTAAATCTTAGGCTCAAAACAGCAACAAAAAAGTTCTTCTACTTTAAAATTTAAATTAAATTTTAAAAATTTTCATGTTATTTGCATTCCATTAACTTTTTAATGTTTTAACGAATTTTAGTAGTTGTCCGACGATAAGGTTTGGGCTTTAAACGCAGATAAGAATATTAAAAATTTTTGAGAAAAAAATTTATAAAACTTACATTTGTGTTTTTTATAAAAACCTGAAGAATTTCATGGAATATAACTTAATAAATGTTTTTTTTAATTTTTTTACTAAAAAGTACGTTTGAAAACAACAAATTTGAAATAAAATATTGATTATTAAGTTTTTAAAATAGTTATGAACATTAAAAAAGGACGATATTATATATAAAAATAAAATTTGTTTATATCATAAAACATTTATTAATAAATTTTGACTACAATGTTTAAACAGCTGAAAATGCTTAATGACATATTATTCTATAGATAATATTTTTATATTTTCTTCGAAATCACTGTACAATAAATAGATAATAATTTTTAATATATCAATCTTCTCCATTAAACTAACTACAATTTTATATTTAAAATATCCTCTCCCATTTTATGGTATGGCCATAGTGTTTTCGGCATACACTGTAAAATTATTTTCTTACTACCTCGGCTGAAAATACGTTGTTTCGTCCCCGATTCCACGGTAGAAAGTTTACGTTTGATGCATTGGTACAATAAGTACTTAAATAACCTTAAATTATTATAAAATAATTTTTTCTTACTACCTCGGCCGAAAATACGTTGTTTCGTCCCCGATTCCACGGCAGAAAGTTTACGTTTGATGCATTGGTACAATAAGTACTTAAATAACCTTAAATTATTATAAAATAAATTTAAGTTTTTCCCGTAGCAAGAAAAATAGTATACACTACACGGGCAGAAAGTGTGAGAGCCCTGAACTGCGCGCCATGATGTGCAGGAATCTCACTCTTTCTGCCCTTGTAGTGTAATATACTATTTATGCATTTTCATAATGTTTAATTATATAGGTATAAATCATTTATCATAAATCATTTTAATAAAAAAAATTGCCAAACGGGTAAAATTTAAACAAAAAATGTTAGTAAGAAAAACTTTTAAGGGTAACTTGTTTCAATAAAATCATTTTTAGTTAGTTTTAACCAACATGAAACACATCACGAAAAACAAAACCTACGATTTCTTACAAAGTTGGTTGGGAACAGGTCTTTTAACAAGCACAGGTAATACACATTGTTATCAATTAATCTATTGCAAAAATTAAAAAAACATTTTTTCCAGGCGCAAAATGGCAATCCAGAAGAAAACTACTAACCCCCTCATTCCACTTCAGCATTCTCCAAGAATTCTTGAAAACGTTCAACGCGGAATCTCAAAGCCTAGTGGAAGTTTTGAAAAAGGAATGTCATAAACCGTATGTTAATGTTGTTAACCCAATCACCGAGTATACTTTAATCTCAATTGGTGAAACCTCAATGGGAACCAATTTGAACTCCCCTGGCAGCTTGGAAAAATCCGCCCAGTACAAAAAAGCAGTGTACACTTTTGGCGATCTTGTAACGCAAAGGGTTGCCAGACCTTGGCTCTTCATACCGGCTTTGTACAAAATGACGGACATGTGCAAAGAAGAATCGAATATCGTCAATATTTTGCACAACTATACCAACGATGTTATTCATGATCGCAAAAAGAATTTCGTGGTACCAAAGGAGGGGGAGGATGCATCTTATTCCACCAAGAAAAGATTGGCCATGTTGGATTTACTCTTGAACTTTAAAGCCCAAGGTGCAGCTATCACAGATGATGGTATTAGAGAAGAAGTTGACACGTTCTTGTTTGAAGGACATGATACCACTTCTATGGCTATATGTTTTGCTCTAATGTTATTGGCCAATCACCCAAAAGTACAAGTATGTATCTTTTATGAAATCGTAATTTTATGACAAAGCTTATTTTATTGCGATATTTAGATTGGTAATTGGTAGTTGTATAGAACATTACATTAGGCAACCTTCTCTACACAGCAAACCGAAAAATATAGATGTATTGAATAACGCCACGTTTGAATACAGTTTTCTAAACCCTCGCCAAGGTATAGTTGTATTCGTCAGTCGAGCGTTTCAATACTCTTCACTTTTGAACTAGTATTAATATGAAAATTATTTTAGGCTTGAAAAAAAACTATATACGACACGATTGTGATTTTTTTCATTTATTAATGAATTAAGCTGTGTTGAATATTTTTCCTGAAGGAATAATTGCCAATGGGCCATTAATTTATTTGTTCGTAGATGCTACAATAACCTGCACTGGTGTGAACTTTTTGATCAACCAGATTTAAATATTGCTGAATTAACATAAAACTACCAGTGTAGATGTGGAGGGTCTACCAACAGACCTCATTACTGAATTATTAAAGTTTAATAGCATATCGATCATTTTTCAACATAACCTCTGAAATTTTTAATACAAATAGGTATAGGTATATTATATAAAACATAAATTTACTTTATATAACCTCTGTGCGTGACATACCTTGTGTTAAGGTAAATAAAAATCAGACAAAGGAACCAAAGAAAGCAACAAAATTATATGCAGAAATGAGAATATTCAAACCACTTGCATCCATCAAAAGATCAAAACTTCTTGCAATATTGAATTACACCCTCTTTTTATACTCTCAGAAATATTGACTAGAACAGATATTTTAGATACACTGCAGTTTCTATAACTTGGTAGAGTAAAGAGAAGTCGAAACCGTTGCGATATTGCATTGCGCTGTTTTTGTATAATTCTCGGGGACATTAACGAAAATCATTGCCAGTAAAATTCGAAAAGCTTGAGTTTCTATGTCTCTGAAGAGAATAGGAATCCGAAGTTGCTGCACCATTGGACTGAACCCTTTTTCAATAATTTCTAGAGACATAAATGGCCACCATTCGACAGGGTCGAGTTTCTACCTTTCTGTTGAATATATATATATAGAAAATCAAAATAATGTATCTTGTAAGACACCATTGAGTTTGATTTTAAATATTGTCTTGCATAGGTATATATACCTATGCAAGATAGAGCCGAAAAATATATATAAAAACAAAGCACGATTCAATACAGTTCTGATTCAAACGGGGAATCATCCTATACATCTTAAATCTATGATTAGCTTATTTCTGGTCGTAGATTACATTGCATATTATTTTTTAGCGATAATTAAGCTTGTGCTGAATCCAGTACAAAAAACACATGAAATTTTATGCAGTACTGTGTTATAGAGAAACTGGTCTAATTCAGTTTCTTTAATATATAGTCCAATATTTCAATGATGTTCTCTCTAGCAAATTTAATTTCATTTAGGATTTAATCATAGAGGAGATTGAAGCCACGGTGCCAAACGACGAAACGCCCTCATTCAAAGACTACCAGCAGATGAGCTATTTGGAAAGATGCATCAAGGAATCTTTAAGACTGTATCCTAGCGTTCCCTTTATCGGTAGAGTGGCTGGAGAAGACATCAAAACTAGTTCCGGCTACACAATACCAAAAGGTTGCGACATAAACCTTTACATTTACGATTTACATCACAACAAAAATGTGTACGAAGACCCTGAGAAATACGACCCTGATAGATTTTTACCCGATAACTGCAAAAACAGGCATCCCTTTGCTTACTTGCCGTTTAGCGCTGGAGCTAGGAATTGTATAGGTAAGATAATTGGGCAAAAAATCACTTAAAATGATTCAAAGTCGTTTGACGGTGTGGATCACCTGATGTTCTTACATCTCGCCTCTGTTGGCTTACCAACCGAGCATATAATCTCAGGGAGTCGTTTGTTTTGAGTGTGTTCCACCACACCAAGTTGCCCGACACTGATGAGACCCAATATAGGTCGAAACAGCTGTCTGTCGGTATTTGAAGTTGGTGGAACGCACTCAAAACAAAAAACTTTGGCGAGGTGTAGGTTCAAATCTATCTTATTTATTAAATTCATTTCCCGTAGGTCAAAAGTTTGCAATCCTGGAAATAAAAGCAGCAATTTGCCATATATTAAGAAGTTTTAAATTAGAACCAGTGGACAGACCTGAAGACATCAAATGCATTGTGGATATGGTTTTAAGACCGCAGGGGGAAATTAAAGTGAAGTTTGTTCCTAGGACTTAACCCAAACAGTGCCATAAAGAAAGAAAAGGAGTTTATATCATTAAGTCGGGGCAAAACGATGTCCAAAAAAGTGATATACAGGATTGGCAATATAAGTAAATTGACGTTTCACGATTTAAAACCTTTAGTTCTTCAATTATTTAAACATTACCAGTTTTGGTTTGGCCCCCTGGATCACCAGATTTAACTACCCCTGCCTCCATACTATTCTGTGAGGGTATCTTAAGGATAGTATCCTGTACCAAACCAAACACGATTTACTCAAACTTACCACACTGAAAGCTATTTAAAACATACCCCATCAGTCCCCAATCAGTCAGGTATATATTGCCCACCCTGCATTTGGACATCTTGATGCCGAATGGAAAGATTTATTTTTAATCTTTTAACAACTTTTATTTAGTTTGTACATGTTACAAATTTATACATATTTATTTATACATATAAAAATTTAAAAAGCAAAAACTTGTTTAATTACAACCTAAGTAATAAAAAAGTATAGATTATTTCTACTTTATTGATGGTGTCTAGTTTTTAATTGAAAGCCCTGTATATTTGTTTTCAATAAAGATTTTTGTATAATTTGGTAGTAGAAATTTCTTTAAAACAATGAGTTTTTTAACCTTATAAATATAGATGGCGCTACAATTTAAATATTTATATATTTATTAATCCATATGATTTGAAAATATGTATTTATGTATCAAGGCAGTAAAGTCGTATTTTTTTATCACGAATGTGGAAATAACTACGTGAGTGATAAAAAATGACTTTAATGCCGAGGTGCATATCAAATTTTACCCGAAAACTCATTTAATAATACCAATAATTAATATAGATGATCAAATCAAATGTCATTTAAATGTAGGAAGTGTCTACATATACTGTTTGTTGCGACGGTTATGATATATTTGCCCACCGCGGCTATTTTTTAATTCAATTAATAAAATTAACTTTATTATTTTTATTAAACAACATTTTATGAAAGGGTCCAATCGACCTCTGCAACGGTTCTTTTAATTAAATATTATTTAGTTGCTGCTAAGGAGCAGTAGACACATCTTAAAATGTATAATGGGTTGCATACAATACTCGTATTAAATCTTTTACTTTACTGCCGATTGTTGACTACTTTACTGCCGATTTCGGATAAAAATACTTAATCTTGCTATTATGTCATGATAATCAAGCAATTTTCAATTAAAAAAAATTCTTATCCAATAAATGCCATTTCGATAGCAATACTAAAAATATCCAAAAATCTGTATTCAGCAAAATATATCTCATACAATATTTTTATATTTAGGTACCTATTTATATTTAACTTGTAAAGATTTAATATTTTAAGTTCAACATGGAAATATAGCAAAAACAATGTCATATTTAATTACTACCTTATTAGTCATAACAAGTAATTAAAAAATATAAATCATATAAACAAATTATTGGTTACTTTTTTAACAGATAAGATAATTACATAAGTTATAAACAATCGGAGTCACTTTAATTAGTTATTTCAAAAATGCTGGTAGCAATATTTGTTGTTTGCTTTCTGATTCTGTACGTTAACATTAAAAAAATAAATAAGAAATGGAGAGATTTTTACAACATACCAGGACCCAAGGGACATCCCATCATAGCAAATTCTTTGTTGCTGCTAGGAATAAGTAAAGGTAATTTATTACATTTTATTAGAATAAGCCACAGTGCATAATCTATAACCGGCATATTTATTGTTTTAGAACAACTATTTAAAGATATGCGAAAAAGAGGTTTGGAATATTACCCGATTTATAAATTGTCCTTTGGAACAATCAGACATGTTTACTTGTTTTCCCCGGAGGATTTTGAGCTGGTAATGTCCAGCATGAAACACATAACCAAAAATGAGGTTTACACATTTTTACATGGATGGTTGGGCACAGGGTTACTTACAAGCGATGGTAATAAATAGAAAACATTTTTGAAACCACTTTTATCTAGAAAACACTTTTAGAAAAGTTTTTTATGGTTTGGCTCTTCCAAATATAAGTTTTAAATTAACTATTACTACTATAATAGTACAGTAAATTTTATAAATGGGTTAAATCTAGAAACTTTAGTCTCTGTTTAAATCCATTAAATCCCTTTTAATCACAACAATAAAGTATAAAATCATTTTTGAAAGGAGATTTTTTCAAACATAATTTTTATGTAAAATTTATAGGATCAAAATGGCAAACCAGAAGAAAAATATTAACACCAGCGTTTCATTTCACCATCCTACAAGATTTTTTGAATATCTTCAACGAAGAAACAAAAATTTTGGTGCAAAATCTCTTAAAATTATCCAATGTATCCAACTGTATAGACGTCAAAGTTCCTATAACTGAGTTCACACTTGGCACTGTAGCTGGTAAGTGCAAATTTTAAGATGAAGTTTTAAGTAAAACTCGATAAATAATTTTATATTTTTAAATTAAGAGACAGCAATGGGTATAAATCTTATCAAAACGGGGGGCATAGAGCAAGATTACTACAAAAACGCAATATACGATTATGGAGATTTGATGATGCATAGAATGACACGTCCATGGCATTACAACCATTTCATTTATGGTTTGAGCCAAACATGTAGAAATGAAAAAAAAGCCACAAAAATTTTACACTCCTTTACAAACAAAGTGATAGAAAGCCGGAAAAAACAATTTCAAGAGCAGGAACATGCGGAAAAATCTTATTCTACAAAGAAAAGGTTGGCTATGCTGGATTTATTATTGAGCTATCAAAGAGATGGGGCGGATATTACTGATGATGGTATTAGGGAGGAAGTTGATACATTTATGTTTGAGGTAAATTATTATACATAAAGGACATTCCAACAATTCCAGTAAATTTAGAAGGACGTTTGTATAAAAATTGAATTTTATGAATTGAACATTGTTGAATCATCTCAGGATAGTAAAATTCGTTTCTGGTCCAAACGCCTTCTAAAATTACTATGGCTGCCAACGGTTAATTGCATTATCTTAACATATACCAAAATACACAACAACTGTATGTTGTTACGTGATCTTAATATTATAGTTTTTTTGTTTACAGGGTCATGATACAACTTCCATAGCCCTTTGTTTTTTACTAATGATGCTAGCAAACGAAGAATACCACCAAAACCTAGTCTACGAAGAAATAATGGAAGTTCTGGGAGACCAGACTCCAGATTATAACGACTTAAACAACCTTAACTACATGGAACGATGCATTAAGGAGTGTTTGAGGCTGTATCCGAGCGTGCCTATGATTGGCCGTGTGGCTGGCGAGGAAATACAAACACGTTCCGGCTACAAAATCCCGAAAGACTGTCAAATACAATTGAATATCTTGGACATGCACAGGAATCCTAATGTATACGATAATCCGGAAAAATTCGATCCCGACAGGTTTTTGCCGGAGAACTCCAGAAGCAGGCATCCTTTTGCTTATATTCCTTTCAGTGCCGGACCTAGGAACTGCATTGGCCAAAGATTTGCTATGATGGAGTTAAAAAGCGCCCTCTCTGGGATTTTAAGGGAGTTTCGATTAGAGGCAGTGGACACCCCTGAGGACTTGACGTTTTTGCCAGATTTGGTGCTAAGAACAAATGGCCCTATTAGGGTCAAATTTATCCAAAGAAATTAATAAATTAGTATTGATATTTATATATGTATTATATGTATCTTTATACATTTTTAATAAAGATTTTTAAAATTTATGTTTTGAACAATTAGGTACTAATTTGCTATTGTGTCTTGATATAATATTTAATTATAAATGTATCTTATCTAATTAAATTTAATACATTTAATGGATTTTCGGTAGATCAAAAGTTAGCTATAATGGAATTAATTAATGAATTAATTAAATACATTATAATAATATATTAATTTAAAAATTTAAACTATATTATCTCCATTTTACCGACCCTACCCACAAAAATAACAGAAATAAAAACACTATCCAATCAAAAAAAAAAAAAACATTGGCCTTCCACTAGTAGGTAAACAGCTGTCAAAAAGACTAATATAAAATTCTTGGGAGTTGGTCCCGGCGAAAATGTAAGTTGCATTGTAAAAATTTGGTTCAAAAACTTGGACAAAACTCTTACAATACTGACGCCCAACAACAGTAATATTGAGTTTATTATTCACGGGCGGTAATTATGGTTTAAATATAATGTACGGAAAAATCCAAATAAATCAATGAGTAGAAAGATATTTAAATATCTTGATGCCGAATGCAAATGTTTATTTTTAACTTTTCAAGTATAGCACAAAACACGTTTGTTTGTTTAATTAGATGTTAGAATTACATAACATATTATATGATTTTTTTTGCATATAAACTTGTATAACCTTAAATAACAAGTAAATAAATTGTTGGTTACCTTTTTTTTAACTTTGATAAGATATCTGGATACATTAAAAACAATCGGAGTGACTACAATCAGTTGTTTTAAAATGCTGGCTGCAGCAGTATTTTTGGTTGTTTGCTTCCTAATTTTGTGCGTTTTTATCAGAAACATAAATAAAAAATGGAGCGACTTTTACGATATACCGGGGCCCAAGGGACCTCCTTTCATAGCAAATGCTATGTTGTCGATAGGATTAACCAAAGGTAATTTCTTACATTTTATTATGATGCATTATCTATAATTACTTTAAATTGCATTCGCCATTTTCATTGTTTTAGAACAAATATTTAAAGATATGAGAAAAAGAGGTTTGCAATATTACCCGATTTATAAATTGTCCTTTGGAACAATCAGACATGTTTACTTGTTTTCACCAGAGGATTTTGAGCTGGTAATGTCCAGCATGAAACACATAACCAAAAATGAGGTTTACACATTTTTACATGGATGGTTGGGCACAGGGTTACTTACAAGCGGTGGTAATAAATAGAAAACATTTTTAAAACCACTTTTATCTAGCAAAAACTTTTAGAAAAGTTTGTTATAGTTTGGCTCAAATCTCTTCAAAATATTAGTTATCCCTAAATGATAATTTTAAATATACTTAAGTGTTCCAAAATGAGACTACGATTTTTGACGTTGAAAAAAATTAGAACTAATTAAATAAATTGTTTGTCATGTGACACCAATCCAACAATCATTTCAACATTTAACTGAGACTGTTAACTTCACATTTCAAGTAAATTTTAAAATGTCACGATTTGGTTATTAAAAAAAAGTTTTGCTACGAACAAAAATGAGTTAAATGAGCATAGAAGAACTGACCAATGCCAATGTACTGAAAGATTGGGCGGTCAATATAAGGAATAAAGATTGGACAGAATTAAAAAAGCAACTGTTAAGACTATATGACTACATTTGATTTTATTATAAAAAATGTTCTGACCCAATATCCCTCTGACATTGACAAATGCCTCATAATTTTATGTCAATTTCCGTGCAATAAAATTATCTCGTACATTATAAATGTTCCAGGGATATTACAGCTGAACAATATTTATAAAAACTTGAGAATTTTAGAGGATGTTAAAAAATTAAGGCAATAAGCCATAACCTTCTTATTATCGTGCTATTCGTTATTGTCAAGGTTATTAACAAACAAAACATGCGTTAAAATTTACAAAGATGCATTAAAGAGTTATGTAATTTATATCTACTTTGAACCAGTATAAAATCATCGCTACTGATTCAATTAAATTAAAATTTGTACAGACAAGATTATTATTATATGAAAAAATTATATAAATTAGCAACGATGACGAATTGCACGATAATGAGAAGGTTATTGCTCATGGCACATTATTTATATATATATCCAATTTTCCTTTTAACGTAAAAAATCGTATGCTCATTTGGAAAGTTTTAACTAAATCATTTTTTTTTCTTAATGAGTTAGATCCCTTTAAATTTTTATTTACACTTAATTTTTGGAAAATGCTCATTTCTCTAGAATTAATTTAAAAGTAAGAGCGAATCCTTATTTTCATGTAAAATTTATAGGATCAAAATGGCAAACCAGAAGAAAAATTTTAACACCAGCGTTTCATTTCACCATCCTACAAGATTTTTTGAATATCTTCAACGAAGAAACAAAAACTTTGGTGCAAAATCTCTCAAAATTATCCAATGTATCCAACTGTATAGACGTCAAAGTTCCTATAACTGAGTTCACACTTGGTACTGTAGCTGGTGAGTATAAATTTTAAGTAAAACTCGAGATTTTTATAAATAATTTAATATTTTTGAATTAAGAGACAGCAATGGGTATAAATCTTAATAAAAATGGGGGTATAGAGCAAGATTACTACAAAAATGCAATATACGATTATGGAGATTTGATGATGCATAGAATGACACGTCCATGGCATTACAACCATTTCATTTATGGTTTGAGCCAAACATGTAGAAATGAAAAAAAAGCCACAACAATTTTACACTCCTTTACAAACAAAGTGATAGAAAGCCGGAAAAAACAATTTCAAGAGCAGGAACATGCGGAAAAATCTTATTCTACAAAGAAAAGGTTGGCTATGTTGGATTTATTATTGAGTTATCAAAGAGATGGGGCGGATATTACTGATGATGGTATAAGAGAGGAAGTTGATACATTTATGTTTGAGGTAAATTATTATACATAAAGGACATTCCAACTATTCCAGTTTATTTAGAAGGACGTTTGTATAAAAAATGAATTTCACGAATTGAACATTGTTGAATCATCTCAGGATGGTAAAATTCGTTTCTGGTCCAAACGCCTTCTAAAATTACTATGGGTGCCAATGGTTAATTGCATTATCTAACATATACCAAAATACACAACAACTGTGTGTTGTTACGTGATCTTAATATTATGGTTTTTTTGTTTACAGGGCCATGATACAACTTCGATAGCCCTTTGTTTTCTACTAATGATGCTAGCAAACGAAGAATACCACCAAAACCTAGTCTACGAAGAAATAATGGAAGTTCTGGGAGACCGGACTCCAGATTATAACGACTTAAACAACCTTAACTACATGGAACGATGCATCAAGGAGTGCTTGAGGCTGTATCCGAGCGTGCCTATGATTGGCCGTGTGGCTGGCGAGGAAATACAAACACATTCCGGCTACAAAATCCCGAAAGATTGCCAAATACAATTGAATATCTTGGACATGCACAGGAATCCTAATGTATACGATAATCCGGAAAAATTCGATCCCGACAGGTTTTTGCCGGAGAATTCCAGAAGCAGGCATCCTTTTGCTTATATTCCGTTCAGTGCCGGACCTAGGAACTGCATTGGCCAAAGATTCGCTATGATGGAGTTAAAAAGCACCCTGTGTGGGGTTTTAAGGAAGTTTAAATTAGAAGCAGTTGACACCCCTGAGGATTTGACGTTTTTACCAGATTTGGTGCTAAGGACAAATGGCCCTATTAGAGTCAAATTTATCCAAAGAAATTAATAAATTAATAATAAATGTTTAAGAAGAATTTGGTTATTGTTCACATTTATTTTAATGCAAAATTTGTTTAAACTTAATAAATGTAGAAGGCACAATAAGTTTATTTATTTATTAAATTATTTTACTTTGCTAATATGCTACTATGCTTTATTATAATAAATCTATCTATACTTATATGCAATGATTCATCAATGCCCAGAACATACCTCTGGACCTAAGATTTTTAGTGCACGATGGCATGGATAACCGTTCAGATTTTTTGAAATTCCATTGGGCCCCTTCTTAATTCAGTTATAATTATTCCCGGCACATTCGCCATTTTTGCAAATATTTAACGGCTGAACGGATTTTAATGAAATTGTGCACATGTCTTAGGTCTTTAAACGTAACGGAACGAAAAAAACATTATATTATTATATACAGGGTGTCTCAGATTTTAATCGGGAGAATTAAATAGTCAACAGAACGCAAAAATAAGAAGAACATTTTATATGAACTTGTACGCTTTAAAGCTTTGTTTTCGAGATAAATGGTATATATAAGTTAATAAAAAACAAGTATGATCACGCCACTGCTTTTTTATGAATTTTATACTATAATTGAATCGGTGAGAATAAGAACAGTACAAGTCATTTTTTTTAAATCTTAAAGTTAAAAATTCATTTTTGAGAGAAGATATAAATCATTTTACAAAATACGAATATTATATTTTACAAAATAGTTAAAATATTTTCACAAAAATGCATTTAGAACTATAAAAATAATTTTTTTAAATATTTTGTCAAAATTTTAACTTCTGGACTTGTACTGTTCTTATTCTCACCGATTCAATTAAATTAAGCAATTAAAAATACAACATTTTTATCTCCTGTACTTTTCCTCTATCTTGCTTAATTTTTAAGAAAAAAATTAAATTCTTTATCGTGACCATAATTTTTTCAGGGAGCAAACATGTAAACGAATTTAATTTTTTTCTTAAAAATTAAACAAGCTAGAAAAAAAATGCAGGAGACAATAAGTTCTATTTTTAATTGCTTAATCTAAAAATAATATTTAAGCGTCGCCTCTGAATTAACTACATTACTAAAAATCTACAAAGTGTTATTAAATTTGGTCAAGGAGTTTTTGAAATTTTTAAACAAATACTTATGTCGAAAACAAAGCATTACAACATAAAAGTTCAAATAAACTTTTCATCTTATTTTTGCGAGTTCTATCTGAAAAATTTAATCCTGATTAAATCTGAGACACCCTTTATATGACGAAGCCGCGTATACCTACAGCTAGTTGTATTATAATTTTAATTTTTAAGCTAAAATGCACTTGTACCCTTTTGCTTCTTACCCCTTCGGTTTTAACTTTCAATCAAAATTCTTAAAATGGGATTATAAAAATATATAATTAAGTATGACAAAAAAACTTCAATATCGTCTATGTATTGCACTTTTTTTAAAGCTATAATAGCTTTAATATTGATTGTATTTTTAATCATTAACATAAAATATTAAAACTTTTTAAATTTGTCTAATGAAATCATCACAACTATATTGATAAATTAGACTAATGCGTGATAAAACCATCTTAAAAACGAAAGATTTTCCAGTGAAAGTGACGGTCAAGGACGAAAATAATTTAATAATAATACTCGTCCTAACCACTTTCTTTCTTAATGCCCAATTCATTACGGAACATAAATTATCTAGACACCATGAAATTATTTCAAGAATGTTATAGTAGGTATACCTACATGAATTACCAATACATTAATTAGCAATCTTTCGGGTTAAGTGCTCAGGTATTTGCATGCCTTACTCTCTAAAAATGAAATAGTCAAAAATGACTAATTTAATATTAGTAAAGACGGGATATTTAGGTACTAAAAACTGAAAAATAGATACTAAAAAAAAGCATTTTAGGTTAAAAAAAACAGCATTTTAGGTAAAAAAAACATTAAAAGTTTAAGTTTCGTTTATAATTTTGTTTAGCCGCATACCCAAACACAGAACATACCCACAATAAACTATTTATATGCAATAAAATGTTTTACTGAGTGACACTCACTACACAGAAGTTCTATGACAGAACATAAGCTCAATACAAAGAAGGTAACTGTAAAGAAAGTTACTTACAGTCTGTGACCATAAGAAAAAATTCTATACCGTTGAGTTGCACGCCCTGGATAAAATATTGGCGGAAAAATTAAAAAGAACACAAAAAAATAAAATAAGTAAAAATACGTAAAAATAGATAACAAATATGTGAAAATAAACTGACAAATTAAAAAATATGTAACAAAAGTATAAAAAGGTAGTTTAAAGCAAAAACCTCCAAAAAAGGTAAAAAAGGTGAAAAAAAGTTAGGTTCATATAAAAGAAAATCTTTTAAAACACATTTTGGCATTGGTTTTCAAATAGTTACATCGTTGAAAAAAGGTACAATAACTAAAATCCCATCCCTAGTTATCAGAAAAATGTATTAAATGAGTACTTTTGGTGTATCGGAACATGCTTACTAAAAATATCTCATCTTAAAAAGGCAATCCAACAATCTTTAACAATGTTTGACTTAAAATGAAGAAGACCCAAACACCGTGATTATTACGAAACAGGTGTGGGAATAGGTAACCGAGTCGCCCACTAGATTGGCTTTCTCCATTGAGGAGAGCGCGCTTGTGTTTTGTTTACTACGCTCATTTGTTGTTAATTCACCGCGTCCGACGATCACCTGTAGCACGTGGTTGTTGTGTTCGGTAAAGGCAGGCAAAACCTGTGTGTGTGTAAAATTTGGAGAAAATACAAACTGTTTTTGTGTAACCAGTGTATTATAAAGTTTGATTGTTTTAATTATCTTAATTTGCACATAAAAGGTAGGTTTGATTGTTTTTGGTGTGAATCATTTTGCATTTAACAAATTTGTACGATGAAAAACAAATTATATAAGAACAATAAATTAAAACATGTGTAATTATTGTTGTGCCGCTTTGTTTTCTCACCATTTAAATAAAGAAAACTTTGACGCAACCTAAAACAAATGAAATACTTAATTATTGAAATTATAAATTTGTTAATTTCCCACATATGTATGTAGATAATCATAGTTATAATTTTTACACTATGATTTTTTAAATTACTGTATACTTTTATTTTGAACTAAATTTCCATTTTCCTATTTGCCAGTGATTTTTTAAAATGTATCCCTGACTGTAATATCACAAAATTCTTAATGAATTTGGCAAAGATATAAAAAATTAAGAAGCAAATAGTAAAAAAGTTTTTTTTTAATTTTCAAAAATTCCTGACAGATACAAACTTATTTAAGAAAAATGTCATTATTTCTGATACAATTATGTATGACAAAAAATTTGCTCGAAAAAAATATTCCTGCACAAAGGCTAAATAATATTTTCAGATTTTGTGTTTCGCTCATAGATTTTAACAAATTTGCAATATAAGGAGCCCATTTTTAAAATTATATTTAACCAAGTTTTCGTTTTAGCAGAATGGATAGACAGACTTTTAAAATGACACTCCAAAAAATATCGGGACAAATTAAATAAAAAACCCATAAGCATTTTATTTTATAAAAAATTGACAATCTCTTAATTTATAATATTCTCCCGATTTGTGATCTTGTAATTTAAAAAAATTGCAATACAGGAGCTACTTAATTGTCCTTGTGCATTTTTAAAATTATATGAAAAAATATTTTTTTACTCCCATTGAAACGCCCGTTATTGTACATGTTTCCAGTTTCCATTTTAATGACCTTTTAATTTCGCCGGCAGTAAACTAGATTTAACTTAATTTCGTGTGGAAACCCCACTGTGGATTACCCATAAAACATATTCTTTCCTTTCACTGCGAAAAACTGTTGTTAGTTCATTTTCAAGGAATACATTTCGATTTACACATACAAATTTGACATTTTCACCGGCGCGCTACAGATTCCAAGAATGGTTACTCTATTGTTTTATAGATGTCGCTCTATACAAGTATTTAATTTAAATCATTTTTAGATAATAATAAGTATTTTTCGCAGAAAAAGTATATATGCAACTAGTTTATAAACTTTTCTAGGCACTTGTTAAAAACTCGCTCGTGCCTAATTAAAATTCGTAAATAAAATGGCGTTAATCAAACTTGATACATAATATACAAAAAAAAATTTTTGCCCATTTTTAAATCTGCACCAAAAACTCGATACCTCAGACAAATCACAACTTAGTTTATATTATACTACACTGTATAATCCAAAAAAATAAACAATAATTGTTAAAATACTATTTATGGGGCCTTAGTTTAAACATTAAACATTTTTAAACAAAAATGAAATTGGATAAAAATAGGGAAGCCAAAATATTTTCAAAAGTATAATTGATTAGAAATGTTTAAGCATTAATTAATAGAATAACTCTTTTGTGGTTTTTAAAACTTATTTTTTTAATACGATTGTTCAAACACCATGAATGGTAATACTTTTTTTCAATTTAATTTAATTTAATTTGGCTTTGCTATGACTAATTAGGAAGAAAGTGTAAATGCTGAAGTGCTGAATTTTTAAATCCTGCATAAACAATTCTTCAAAAAGCAGTTTCTTAAAGTCGTGCTCTTTAGCAAATTTTATGAATGTGTACAATTAAATTTTTTAAATTTAATTAGGACCCATAGCTACACTACCAATGATTCTTGGTTAAAGTATTTGATTAAAAAATACATATGTATATGCGAATTTGTATATTTGGATATAAAAAAAGTTTTTACACAATATCCTTAAAACAAAAGCTAATTAAGCAAAATGATTGTCATTCTTTAAATTAGCGCACCCAAATGGAAAAATTAACGTTGACCTGCATCAAAATGGCTGCTGGCCAGTGTTATTTGTAAATTTAATATTTAACTTTTTTTGCAGGCAATTTTTAATGGTGACATAGTGATTCCACTAGAAACTTTTTCTGCCCAAATTTTTATTTTTATTTATATATTATTTTACATAATCAATTAGCTCCAAATATTACATATGTACATTTACATAATTTAAATAAAATACTTACTATATACGAGGTTTGTTCAGAAAATAACGGGAATTGTTAAATTTCGCGGGTTCAGGGGGTCCGGTTGTCATAAAATTTTCTTTATTATGTTGGTATACATGCCCCCGAAGTATGATAAAAACTTTAGTTGTTTTCATTTACTTTGTCTGTGGCAGCCGCTAAGGTTAGACGTGTTTTATGAGCTCGGCGATTTTTCGTTTCTTAAAAGAAATGGACTTTGTATCCAATTTTGCTTAAAAAATAAAATAAATTCTGTGAAATGTTAACAAAGTCCTACAGTGAGTCTGCTATAAGTAAAACAAGAGTTTACAAGTGGTATAAAAGTTTCCAAGATAGCCGTGAAGACGTTGAAGATGACGAACGCCCCGAACGCACAAGCACATTAACAACCGATAAAAACATGGAAAAAGTGGAAGAAATGGTTATGAACCATCAGAGAAGTCGCTGATGATGTTGGTATATCGATTGGCTCATCCCATGAAATTTTTTCGAATGTTTTGGGTATGAAATGCGTGGCAGCAAAATTTGTACTAAAATTGTTAAATTTTGAACAAAGTTTTTGGCCAAAAAGAATACTGTAATGATGCCCCAGCCTCCATATTCGCCAGACATGCCTCTGTCTGACTTTTTCCTATTCCCAAAAATAAAAAACCTTAGGGCCGTCGTTTTGCAAGCATAGATGACATTAAAAGCGCATCGCTGAAAGAACTAAAGGCTATCCCAAAGATCGAGTTTTAGAAGTGTTTCGAGTATTGGAAGAAGAGCTGACACATGTGCATAATATCCAATGGGGACTATTTTGAAGGCGACAACATTAATGAATAAATAAATATTTGTTTCAAAAAACGAAAATTCCCGATATTTTCTAAACATACCTATATATATACTAATAAAGTACTATATATATACTATATATATGTATATAGTATATAATACAATATTTTTTTTTCAAAATGTTTATAGACAGTATATACTATATACTGTCTATAAACATTTTGAAACAAAAAATATTGTATTAATGTTTATTTTTCATGGTCAAACACAACCTACGCTTGGCAAATTTAAATTAAATTTGTTAAAAAATTATTATGCCATTCGAATGCACCGTAACTGCATATAATAATACTTACGGTTTTTTTTTTGTATAGGAAACACCATTTTTGTTAAAACTGTTATGTTAAGAATAATTTATTGGTCGCTTATTAATTACATCGAGTAATCTGTGTTACATAAAAAATAATATTTACCAATATAAGTTGAATTTACTGTTAATAATAATTTAATTATTTTTCTTATTAACATTTATTCAGTTAATTTCTTTTCTAACTAAAACTAGATCTTACTTCGATAAAATGTATGAAGTTGTTTACTATTAAATTAATTAATTAATTGTTTTTGCGTAAAATTATATAATACTATTAATAAGATAGTAAAGAAAAGGATTTATTTGAGTACCAAAATTCTTATCTTGATATTGATTCTGATAAAAACGGTGTAGTGGTTGGCAGGTATCTTGCTACCTGCTTTTAGTCATTTTAATTAAAATTTCCCTCCAACTAGTTTTCGGTAGTTTACTACTTCATCATACCATTTTTGCCATCTCATAATCTTCAATTGTGAAGATACTATCTTCAAGATAGTATCTACTAGATACATAATTTCATTGCATACAGATCATTTGTAACGAGTACATTTTCCTTAACAATGAGGCCGCGTAAGAAATAAATTACAAAACCTTAAAAATTGTTTTTAAGTCTCACGTTTCAACGCGTTATTGCAAGAGCATTGTATAACTTATTCAGCTATACAGGTTGCTGCGTTTTTATAGTAGTTGCACTTTTATAGCGATTTTAATGTATCGGCGATCTTTTTACCAAGATGGTGCTGGTCTTAGACGGACTAGAAAATAGGTAAAAAGTGGATCACGGCAAATAGGTAGCTGTAGCTGTAGCCGACCGCTTAGTTAGTAAGAACTATTAAACATCTACTGTAAAGGAAATTTCAAAAAGTCCACTTATTGGCCAAGAAGCCTAATTAAGAAGTCATAGAATACAATGTTGCCTAATTATATACACTTGCTAATTATGAATTATTGTTTTTAATTTATCGACGCGTCGGTGACCTGGCACTACCTTGAAATTGTTAAATTAATTAAATAAAAAAAATCTAAAAAAATAAATGAGCTTTATAAAATAAAAAGTTTTTTATGATCAAAACTTTGTGGTTCCTACTGATCTTTGATATCACTAGACGGTACTAAAAAATGTAAAATCTAAATTTTACTATATTATATATATTTCAAAAATTATAATAAAAGAAACTAAAAAAGCAGTAATTTTAGCAATTTAAAATGTATATAAAAAAAATATCAAAAAACTCGGCAACGCTGTTATCGTGCATCAGCTGGTTGACAGATGTATTTTTGACAGTTTGTGTCAAAAACATGAAACTTCAATCAAGATCATCAACTTTGTTATTGTAAACAAAAAAACTCATTATTTTTTAAAAGCCCTAAGAAAATTATGTTCTACCTTTTTGTAGCTAAACGGTTTTAACTATCAGAAGCATAGAAAAAGGATATATCAGAAGAGCATGAGGTCGCAGATGTATTAGCTAACAGTGCATTTTAGACTTGCCATCTAGTATTTAGCATCCGATGTAAAAATTACAGTTATCTGTAGGTAGGACAAACTCGCACAGTAGGATAAATTTTTAAAAAATGGTAGGACAATTCCGTACAGTGGGATAAATGTAAAAATGGTAGGACAAAGTTCCACAGTGGGATAAATTTAAAAAAATCGTATGACAAATAGTAG